TCTATTTATTAGTGGATACAAAAATAAATAAATAAATTATAAATTTGTTAACAAAATACTTCAAATTTTTTTTTTTATATAAAGCAAACCCATAAGTTAAGTTGATGAAGAGAGCAATGAGGAAATGTTGATTGCAGGGTCAGCAGTTGATGGGAGAGATGGAGCCATAACAACTAGAGCTGATGCAGAAATCAAAGGAAGCCACAGCTTTATTTCAAAGAGATTAGTATGTAGTGATCTCTTGTGAATATATAACAATCCAACAATTTGCACGAGTTTCTTTTTTCTTTTTTTTTTTCGAATAATTTTTAAAAATTCATATTTTTTAATAATTAATAATTAAATATGTAATTTTTGATACGGTTATGCATTACAATGTATTTTGTGCTTAATATATATAATCTGTTACTGCAGATTCCATTATGAGGAAAAGAAACTTTGATTAGGCTTATCACACACGTTAATCGGGTTTAGCAGCACTAAAACATGTGCCCTTTGTATATTACTTCTTTTGGTCGCATTCTTTAAAGGTTTGAAAATTTTATTTTTTAAAAATAAAATAAAATTTTTGTTATAGATTATAGAGAATCGAAATTTAAAAGACATAAATTTATATTTTAAATACAAAATCAAACAATAATATTAGGGTTTACATTTATTACACAATAAATTAAAACGTTTAATAGAATTATAAAAAATGTACTTTTTATAACGAAGCGTAAATAAAAATAAATAAATAATTTAAAAGTTAAATTTTATTAATAAATTTTTTATTTTTATGATTTAATTTTTTATTTTTTAATTTTTTTAAAAAAATATTCATCGAATTTCAAATTTCATCAATTTTTTTAAAATTATTTTTAATTTCATTTATAATTTATTTTTTTTTAAAAAAATTTATTAAAATTAAAATAAAATAAATTATTTATATAATTTTTATAAATAAAAAAAAATATCTTATAAAGACATATTAAAATTTAAGTAAAATTTTAAATTTCGTACATACTCAGCCAACAATTATTTGTCAGCGGTATGTAGGCAAACTGCACAAAACGCAGGGACAAATAATTAATTAATTATAAATAATTACAATTTTTTAGTTTTTTTTTGTGTAAAATTTTCTCTAAAAGAGATACTTATAAATAAGAATTTATAAATTTAGGAATTAGCAGAATATAACTAACAAATTTGAAGGAAACAAAATGTGAGAGTCAATTTAAATTGAGAGTAAAAGATGATTTGAGAGTGAAACGGGTCGTCCCCATACCCCGTTCGGTATGAGCGTCAAATTACCAAGTCTCAATACCCCGTCCGGTATAAGACAACATTCACGGTAGGATTCCCTATTGTACACGGTCCGTCCACCATCTCCCAGGATATCTAGTAAGGCTGTCGTTTCATCCATTCACTTAATCACACAATTTTCCGTTTTCTTTTACTCTTAATTTTCCAATTCAATGGTAATCACATAAATCAAATAAGACATGCATTCAAAACTATAAATTTGATCATGAAATACTATCATGCAATTAACTACAAAATAATTCCTAGAATCAACAATAGATAATTTCCGGTCCTGACTCCATTAATAACCAACTGATTTTCTTGAAAGAAATGACCTTAAAAAACACACGATCACCTTTCAAAATTCTAAATCCCTCTTCCGAGTGTCCGCATAACTCTTCTGCTTTATCAGAATCGTCAAATACTCTTCTTGATC